TTGTGGGGCCCGTCCATTGACTTCCATTCATTTTTTGGTAATTTTACATCCTAACCCTGACCACAAACCCTAAGGCTAACCTCACAGGTATCTTACCTGACCCTAAAACTAACCTAAACTCAGTTCACACTTTGGTCCTAAACCCAACCCCCACACCCAAAATCAGCCTCCGAAGTTGTGAGGAGCACCCGGTCCCCACGAGGCTGCATTTTCCTTAAAACTGGGCCCCACGATGTAGGAAAAACAAGGCCCCCCCCCCCACACACACACTATGAGCATCTAACTGTAACTCTCAAGCTCTACAGCTCCCTGCAGCCCCACCCGCCTGTCCTCTGATGGCCTCCCACTCGTGCCACATTAAACATTTAGCGAGGCACTCTGGATCTGTGTGACACTATCTTTTAGCGCCCTCGCTCTGTGGAAAACAGCATAGGTGCACGCTTGACAGCGGAAACCTGAGACAGCAGTCGCAGTGCTCCCAACCAACCATCTTCCTTATTTACGTGCAAGTGCATGCTCTCAATTACAAAGTAAAAAAAATCTGGAGCTCAGAGAAACCTCCTGCACGGAGAGAAAGACCAGCATTACTCAATAGATCCCTGACGTGTGTGTTTCTGTGCTCCATACGTTTTCTATGAACATATTTTTCAGGCACAGACTCACYTGCAGAAAACTGCTCCAGATCCAGTCTAAGCAGGGCCGGTCCTAGCCAGTTCAATCTATGGGCAAGATTTCAGGTTGTGCCCCCTTGTGCAGTTTTCTAAAACTCACTGCTAATTTACAGTCATTCAGTACCAARGTAGTTTTGACTCTATTATTTTTTATCTTTAGAAACCAAGTTGGCCAATTAAAAAAACTTAACAATATTAATTTGTAACAGAATACCAGAAGTCTACCTCACACCTGCCAACATCTGCAGGAACACCTGTTCATGTTAACCAGCAGCTGTGGACTGAAGCAGTTATAGGGGGGGTGAAAGATCCACTCAGAGCTCTGCATTTTCCAGCCATTTGAAGAGCATTTTAATAAATTCTTGGAATTAATAAAACGTAAAATCAGTATTTTATGAAGATAGAAACACTGAAAACCAGATTTTAACCTAAACTTTATCTGAAATCAGAACTGAAACCTTCATTATCCTTTTGTTTGTTTACACACTGAGCACCAGTAGTTCGTCTTCATTGCATCATGATACTTTTATCATGAAACATCCTCTGCACCATATAACACAGCTGAGAAACCCACAGAACAATAAGTTACCTTCATAAACCTGAGTAACTAGTGATTATTCTAAAGAATAAACCAACCCATAAAAAGTTATAAAATATATATTTTTGTCCCCCATTTGTGGTGCCCCAGGGCCCTTAGCATTTGCCTATACTGCCTATGCTACAGGCCGTGATCATAAGAGACAGAAATAAAGAGAATCAGAATAAAATGGCATTAAAAAGCCTCAATAAATAAATGAATTAGGGTCCTAAACACACTGGTGGTAATGCAGGAAAAAATCTGCATAAATGAAAAAAGCTCCACAATTTCCTGAAAGATCAAAAGGAAAATAATTGTATAGGTCRTCTGGACGGGTTCTTCTTTAATGAAACGTTTCGTCTCTCCTCCAAGAGACTTCTTCAGTCTGAGAGTTTCAGGCAAAATTCAGGCTTTTGAGTCCTGCCTCCAGGTGACTGATACTCACATCACATGGCTATCGTTCACATCTAATTAACACCTATTGTTAACAGGGGATGGAGTGATACTGCCAATGGCAGCACTGTAGGAGGGGGACAACTGAAAACGGAGGCCTCCACCTCTGTTTAATGATGGACGGTCTTTCTTCACAAAAATGGCTTCTTTTACTCCTCTCTCAAACCAACGTTCCTCTCTATCAAGAATGAGAACATCCTCATCTCTGAAAGAGTGACCGCTGGCCTGTAAATGAGTGAAAACTGCAGAGTTCTGGCCATTAGATGTAGCTCGTCTGTGTTGGGACATTCTTTTGAACAGTGGCTGCTTTGTTTCCCCGATGTATAACTGGTCGCAGTCCTCCTGGCACTTAACAGCATATACAACATTGCTCTGTTTGTGCCGGGGCACCGGATCTTTGGGGTGAACCAGCCTTTGCCGTAATGTGTTTTGGGGTTTGAAAGCCACTGGGACATCATGTTTAGAAAATAAACGTCTCAGTTTCTCCGAAACACCCGCAACATACGGAATAACCACTGATTTGGGTCTGGGTTTGGGGTCTTCATTTTCACCTGAAGGTTGCATGGAAGAGTTGCATGGAACTTCCTGAAAGATGTACAAATAATGAAACATCCAATGACAACAATAAAGATAGAAAATTACCCACATGAGACACAAAACCGAGTCAAATAAGATTTTTAAAACAATGTTGCCACAAAATGACTAAAAAGGAGCAAGAAGGACAAACAAAAGGACATGAACAAGAATAGACTGAAAACAGAAAGTCTGATATCGTCAAAATAAGTAATAGGTAAAGCAAACCGATCACAATGTTTTAAGAAATAAAAATAAATAGGCTACATGCACAATACAATCACAAAGATGAATGGCAAATACAGTGAAAGAACTAACACTGTACAAAAAGTACAAAAGAACATACATGTTAAACAATCTAAAACAAACATAAAAACACTTTAAATAATTGTAAATCAGCCCTGGGGCTTAGAATAAATAAATATTAATAACTAATATGAAAAGATGCTAGAAAATTAAGAAGAAAAATGAATGAGTGAAATGGGTCCCACAAAACCACAATTGATCATACATATAAATGAGTAAKCTAAATGGGATTAAACCAACTAAAAACCTCATCTGTATGTTTTGTTTTCAGTTTGTGTGCTCTGTGGAGAAAACGAGTGTGGTTGTCTGGACTCAGTGACCTGCTGTTTTACAACTCATCTGTAAGTTTGTCTCTGCTGCAGTGAGGTGTGACCCAGGGTTTGGGTGGATCCCAGCCGGTGCAGTAAAAAAAAAAAAAAAATCTGCTGGGTAGTTTCTTGCAATATTTGGGAGATATCAGAATAAACAAACAAAAAATGAAAGCAGGGGGGTGTTTATCGGCTTGTCGGTCTGCAGAGCCGTGTGCCTCTCAGCAAAACGTCCTCTCAGCTTGATCTAACGCCCTCTAACAGATGATTGATTGAGCTTAAATGTAGCAAACAATTCAGCTCCATCTCCTCACAATTTCATGACTTCACTGATTTCAAAGCATTGGTTTCTGTGAAATATGGCAAGTCCTTGTAACATATAATCAGACCAAGCTACTGACAAATTCCTTTTTGGATCCCATTCCTGTTCATGTAAATAACATTACTACTTATAAAAAAATGTATTTCAAGGCTTCCACAATTAATATGCTGTTAAGAAAAATGAAATTATGATATCTAAAAAAATATGTGTAAGCTTTTAGTGATCTGATAAGGCTAAATTCAGGCATCAACAGCCTTGATTATCAACGTGTTATGTAGCCTGAATATAATCTGCCCTGGGCCAAGCTGTAGGACCTCCTATTGAACTGACAAAACTAATACAAGGCAGCAGAATTATTACCAGGACTTATCAAGGTGAAAAAAAGTCTGTGATTAAGAATTACACTACAATTTTTGGGTATCATCTGAAGGTATACCCCACAACTTTTTTGTTTCAATAAACTGTTCATTAAAACTGACCCCAAAAAAAAAAACTGATGGGCATTTTTCATTATTTAAAGCATCAGAAAATGTTTTATGAGGCGATGTTTTAAAGTCATTAAAAAATTGTAAAGTATCCAGTTTGTTGTTTCACAGCTAATACAGCAACTATTAGTTGCTGTATGCTGTAACTAGTTGCATTTTTTAAATAACACTGTCGTGTTATAATGGAAATGATGTATTTGTTGTTTTTGTTCTGAACCCAGAGCAGAAAGACATCAACTCTTCACACTAAAGTGTTTGTTCATTTATCACGAGTCGTAAGATCGTCATCACCGTTATCGAACACTGCAGGCTTTCCTGATATCACGCAGCCCTAGTGTAGAGAGTAGATTGTTTTAAGCCAATTGGACTTGCTGTGGTCACTGTAAGATACAACGTTTGTCCCAGAACAAAAGTCAATGTATTCCACTGAGCTGGATTTTTACTGGTTAAAATCTTTAGTCCGTTCTAACACAGCTCTGTGAAGTCACTAATCCTTGTGTTATTTTTCTACCATATGATGTTTGTTTCATAATCAAGCTAATCAATAAACAACTACAGCTCAAATGTCTCTGATGACAAAATAAGAATACAATTCAAGCATCTGTAGTCATGGCCATTTTTACCTGCATGACGTCATGTTTGCTGCTCAGTTGCACAACCCCCTGTGAAATGTGTCTACACGAATCTGTACACACATTTTAAAATCAGGCGTATACACTCACAGTGAAGGCCACATRGCCCAAGACAGATATAAATGTCAGGTATGAACAAGGCGTCGACAATATCTGAAATGGGTTTTTATTTTTTATTTTATTTTACCTAATTTCCCTCTCGGATCAATAAAGTGTTTTTGAATTGAATTTAACTGAATTTAGGGCATCAAAAATTAAACTAAAATTCTTGATAGCATTAATGTATGAATATTTGTTGCTGAAAAGCCTTCATACATCAATGTAAATTTAGATATGTAAAAGCCTAATTTTTGGTTAGGATGGCTGGCGGTAAACTGTGAAATCCCGTGTATTATGTGACAATGCAGTTGCCCTAAGTCAAATCTCGCGAGATTTTATCTCCTCCACTTTACAATAATTCATTTATAGATATTTGAAGCTGAAAATGCTTCATACGTAAATGCAAATTTAGAAATCTAAAAACTCGGTTTTGTTTAGGATGAATGATTATTTTGTTAGCTGTGAAACTCCGTTTARTATGTGACAATACAGTTGCCATACCTTTCAAATCTCGCGAGATTTTATCCCCTCCCCTTTACAACACACATACACACACACACCATCATCATCATCATCATCACCGCCCCTCCCTTTCCGCCTTCGCTCGCCTCTCTCTTTTTTTTTCAGTCCCGCTCGCCCGTCAGAAAGGTACTCCAGTGTTGGAGGCTAGGCTACCCTCCTCTCGGACCGCCGTACGAGAGCCAGCCGCCGTCGTACCCCAAGGCTCGGGCTCCCACCCTCCTCTCTCACGGCTCCAACCATGGCAACCACCGCTACTTCCACACGGTTCACCGACGAGTACCAGCTGTACGAGGAGCTCGGGAAGTAAGCAGCAGCAGAGTGCTTCGTGTTTGTCCTGTTCTGTCCCCCCCACCCCCGCAACCTCGCCTCACATTATTTCTGCTTAGCCGGCTAACAGGTGATATTTAGCTCGAATCGCTCACCGACTGACAGCTTTAGCGCTAAATGTCAGGATAAAGGCCAGTTTGAGGCGTTATCGTCGCGGTGCGATTGGGCTAAATTACCGCTGATTTTGACGATTAACCAGCAGCAGCYGCTACCACCACGCTGCTGATATTGATAAACTAGCCGAGTTAGCCGCGTCGTTGCGCCTTTTTGGTCGCAAGCGGCGATGAGTAAATCGCGCAGGCGCTCCTTCCGTGTTCGCCAGCCCGGTGTTTGCTGCTCCGCCGGAGCTGTCGGCGGGCCCCCTCTCTCTGAGACGCCTCTGACATTTCGCCGGCCCGCGGCTCTGACAGCTCCGCTGCTTGACTCGGTTCTACCTGCGGCTTTTCTGGTCGCCAGCTAAGCTAGGCCAGACTCTTTAGCGGTTGCAGATTTGTGTAACTGTTTTTTTTTCCTCTAGGAAAAAAACTGCGCACCCCTCGAATCATTTAATCAGGAAGTGATTCGGTTTTTTGGCTCCATTGGGTGGGTTTTTTTGCTCTGTAGTGCCGGGGCCGAGCCCACCGTCATACATGTCATCATGTTATCAGTCAATCCTTTTCTCCTCGTGCGTCTATCACAGATCTGATCACCTGGCAGGTATTAGGTCATATCACTGTGCTAGAGGCAGGGGTGTGTTTTTTTCTCTGTATCGGGATGACTGCAACACCAAATTATGTGACTCGCATTTTTAACAAACTCAGTTTTATCACCACTGAGTAAATGATTTACAATGCTTTTTGTCTCAACCTTTTAAAGTTAGTACTGTTTGTTGAACTATAGCCCTATATCATTTAAATATTAGAAAATTGCTGAAGAAAGTTGTCCAGATTTCCAACTTTAAAAAATGCCTGTATGAGTTGTATGTGGAGAACCAAGGCCAAAAGAAATACTAAAGCTCCCACCATTAGTTCATTTCTCCATGGGAACCACACATCAGTYTTTCTCGCTCCCTGACTGCCAAGTTAATGAGAGGCAAACTGAAAATAATGCTCAGTCATTGTTGCAAAAACTACAAGTCAGATCTAAAATATTCTTGAACCTAAAACAACCGATTATTCTGATAGATGCACATTATTTTTTTATGTCTAACAGTGTAAGCAATATAAAAAGACACTTTTGAATACATTTTGAGCTAAATATAACACAGTCGAAGCTTGGTTGCGCACTCTTTATTCTGAGGTGATGTAAGAAAAAATGAGTCCTGTAGCAGTGAGACACACACACAGAAAAAAGAATCAAAATTCTCCATGTTTTTATGTATAACTTGAATGTTTTTATTTCAAAGCTACAGAAAAATAAAGGACAAAATAAATGTTTTGTGTCTTAARAGCTGTGTTAACATAAGCACATACATTTTAATTGCAGTAGCTGATTTATTTATTTTTTATTTAATCAGGTCACAAAACTTGCTTGCCTGCAGACTTCTTTGTACGAATGGCGAGCAAAGCAGACAACCACCTTGTCTGTTAATGTAGTATCTTCTGCTCTTGGCCATAAAAGCTGCCCCTAATCATCAGCGGCAGCAGGGCAGCATTGGTCCTACAAAGATATACTGCCCTTAATTTCCAGCTGCCGTTTCCACTTTATCCTTTATAATTGACAGAAATCAATGGCACTGTTTGCAACGCCGGTGCACATCTACACACCTGCACATTCTCCAAAGTGAATCAGGCCCTCCGCTACCCCTGATTCTCCTCGTGACTTTCTCTGCTTTTGTTTCTGCACCTGTCTGTTAATGCATTTTTTTGTTTTGTTTTCTCTGTCATAGGTTATTAACGTCCAAGCGCAGACTTGTACTTGTGTCACCTGTCACCTCTCATTTGCTGTTAAATAATTGAAACTTAAGAGCGGAGTTGCTTGAGGAGCACAGCGCAGCAGATATTAGCGTCAGTGCTTCATGTATCATCAGGAGGAAAAAAAACCTGCCTATTTCTGTCAGGAAAACTGGAAGATTGAGAACTTTAATTTCTGCAGAAGCCTTTTTATTCCTCATTTATTCAAATTAAGTGTATTGGATTAGAGAAAKCTCTAAACTATGCAGGATAGTGGCCCTCAACCAGGATTGTTCACCCCTGGCTTTGACTAGCTTCGTCTAGAGGTCGACTGACACGAGTTTTGCTGTTGCTGAGGACATTTTCAGAAATAAGTGCAGATAATGACATGATATAAAACATGGAAATATGTTTTTATTGGTCACTATTTGGGGTGGGTAATATTGGCCAAAAAAAACCACAATTAATTGTGGTATTTGGCCAATAATGATTAATAAGACTATTAATCCCCTGGAGTCACTGGATGCCTAAATGCCCTAATCACATGACCAATTTAAATCACTCTAGTGGGAAAGATTTGCTRTCCAAAATACCTTTTTCCAAATGATGTCAAAAGTACAGACTTCAGACTATACATCAATTTTTAAATTGTGTTGATAGACCAAGTAAAACCAGAGTTATGATAAATAAATGACGGAACCCTTTTTTTAAACGTTCATCATATTTGAAGCGGAGAAGAGCAACGAGCTGAATGACCGGGGAACTCTCCAGTCAGGCTGCCTGGCGGCATTAATAATATCAATTGTCAAGTGCCAAAAAAATAAAGTTTTTCCGACAATTAATTGCACATTATACGATTTTGCCCAACCCTAGTCAATATGTAATTTTCAGTGACCAAGGACCATTAACAATAATTGGTTAATTTAAATAAGCATATTTTTAAAAGCCATTAGAAAAACTTGGACATTTCAAAAATATGTAGAAAAACGTTTCTTTTATAATTATGTTTTGGGCTTCATTGTTTAGCATAATCTTAGGGTTAGCTAGGGTTGGACAAAGTCGTATCGTATTAATCATCAGAAAAACTGTCAACAATTAGCGAAAAATTATTGCAATTAGTGCCGTGTGACGTATTTTTGTCTGCGACGCATTCTCACTATGTGAGCCCAATAGCAGAAGGCAGGGCAGAGCAACTAAAGCCAACCCTATGAACTTGTTTAATCACCTGAAACACCTGGACACAATGGAGTACGACGAAAGCCAGAAAATACAGACCGAGGTCACGACATTGGCTTCATACAAGTGCAATTTTCATTCAATTATTGTCACCTAAATGCCTCAATTAATTGTGATAAGATTTTTTTGCCAATATCGCCCAACCCTAATTTGAGCTTCATTTAAGTGGCCAGCATTGGCTGATTGATTGGTCCGTTTTCAGCCTTGAGAGTAATTTCTTTTAAAAATTGTGTGTGTGAGAGAGAGAGAGCAACAGTTGCGTACAAACCATTGCCACATGAGCGGTTGGCAGTTTTCAAATGTCACACTTGTGTGGATGTGTGATCAAAAGCATGTGAAAAGGAACTAATTTTTGCTCGTTTGTTTTCTTTGTTCTTAGGGGAGCTTTTTCAGTGGTGCGTAGGTGTATAAAGAAGTCATCCGGACAAGAGTATGCTGCAAAAATTATCAACACTAAGAAGCTTTCTGCACGAGGTACGGTGTCACACTGACTGATAGTTTTGCACGCTGCTTTTGTTATAAATATTGGAAGGTAAAGCCTGAAGAATGTTGTTTCACTTTAGAAATTAGTTCAATTTTGGAGCAAAATTTCCTCTGGTTCACTGTGAGTTGTGTCCTGACTTTAATAAGAAAACGGAAGACTACGATTCTGATAATGGAGCATATCTTTTAATTTGGCTGACATTTCTTATCAGTAACTTCCTAATAGTGGATTGATTTTCTTTATAAACACATTGAATAGCTCTGCTGTGGCTTCTTGGTGCGATTGGATTGCTTCTGTATAGTTAATCAAATCAAGTTTCTTGTTTAAAAGGCTCTAGAATGAAACTGATGACTTAAGATGTGACAAGATGTTAACTTTTTCGAGTGTTCACGTTACGTATTTTCTGCACTTTCACACCTACAGAACACACATCTGTTGGAGTGGCTCATTGTAACAATGACCTGAACTCCTGTTACTGTGTCAGGACCTTTCCTGGCCTCAGACTTAAACACCTAATTACTTTCTTCTGTCTGTATCTGGCAAATTAGACGTGGAGACTCCTCCTTGGTTTTCATGCACACACCTGGCGCTTTTTGTTCTTTTTTCCCCCTCTCCTGCACCCTCATTACTTCTACATCTCTCCCCTCATTGCCTGTCTCTTGTCTTTCTGTGACGGGAGATTGGTTTGTATTGAGGCTAATCCACTTATGCTAAATGTATCTATCAACCACTAAGACCCCACAGATTTCATAGGCACTTCCCTGTTTGTCCTGTTGTTGTCTGTGATGGTATTTGTGTGTGCAGAAGAGAGGGAGCACGGAGTAATGCTAAGAGTGTTGTTTTGTGTAAGTGTGTTGTAATGTTGTTATTGTTCTTTCCGTGCCATCAAGTGTCCACATAGGGTTGCTTCTAGCATTAACGTCCCACCAAGGAAAAGTATGGGCTCAGCGAAAAGCTGTGGGCTCTTTGCAGTTCAGAAAATACAGTTAAGGCCTGTTTGTGTGTGCATTTTTCATTAGTAAAGGAAGTATGATTGTCTTGCCAGGAGTTCATGATACAGAGGGCACTCCTTATCAAGGCAGCGAAATGAAATGCAACAAAAAGAGGTGTGATTGGGTGAAAGGAGTATAGAATTTGTGTCAAGGGAAAAAAATAGCCTACATTGCTGACATACCATTCACCTACATGCAAACAAAAACCTAACACACTCGGTGGCTACTGCGAGAGCAGGCACTTTGCCTGGTAGGATTTGGGTGGGGTTTTTTTAGACTGGCGGGTAAGTGTGGCCTCACGCGTGGCCTGGTGGGTAAGTCTTTTAAAGCTCCGATAAACACTGCAGTAATCTGAAGAGTGGGGGGAGGTCGATGGAAGGAAGGAAGTCAAAGAAAGAAGGTTGTGAGGAAATTTATGCTACAAATGTGTATTTTACTATGGTATAGTCTCTTTAGGATTAATGGAAGTAGACAGCAGCATTCACAATTAGGCATTTAGAAAATATCTGTATAGATCTTTAGCTCAGTCAGAGGAATCTATCMTGTAGGGGCTTGCTTGTTAGGAAACATACATTTCAGTACAGTTGAACAAAATGACCACAAGAACAGGAAATCATGATTTTCACCTCAGAGCAAAAGCTTCTTGATTTGTCACAAGTAGCATTATTGTGTGTAGAGTTATTTGTTTGATATAACCCGTCCCCTTRATTGTCTTCTTTGGAGCATTTTTAGAAATAAGTGTATTTGATTGTATTCACACCAGGAAAGCCCTTTGATCTGTTTGTTTGGTCTGGACCAAAAGAGGACTTTATTTTTTTGTTGTTTGCAGTTTGCATTCACATTGTGCTTTTTTGCAAGTGGACTATAATTTGTAAACAAAGCCATGCAAGTGACTATCATTGCTCCCATTGGACAGAAATAATGGAGGCGCTCCAGAGCTCAGACCCGGAAAGAAAGATGGAAGTCCTGTGTGCTGCAATTCTGATGTGCTCATTTGTGCTGTTGGTACAACTGCAGTACCATTTAAAACTTCAAGAGCAGCTCAGATGAGTTATGTATGCATCTGTCCAAATATCGAGGAGGCACAGTGTCCTCATTGCTCCAGGTTTGTCCACGAATCATTGTTTGTAGCATCCATAGATTAGYAGCYTTGGCAACACTAAAGGGCTKWTTTTTACTATGATGCTTTGCAATAGTGGCTCATGAAYTCCAGAAAGGTGCATGTTTCTTGTAGTTMGTCTGGGTTTAGGCCTCACCAGAGTTCATTTGAAAGAGGACCAAGACCACCTCAAAAGGTGGGTCTTGGTCCAMTTGTTTGGTCGCYTGAGTGTATTCACACTTGCATAAAAGGTCCAGACCAACAGGGAAAATTAACTCTGGTCTGTTTAAAGCYGACCGAATGGGTCCATTGTGAATATACCCTTTAGTCTTTTACTATCAACCCATAAGTTTAATTTAGTAACAAGGGAGCATAGCAGGTTAAAYTCAACCCAAAGCTGTTGCTTCTCTGAGCCGGCAAGAAAGGTAGTCCCAGAGCCAAGTTGGRGAGTAGGAGGGAAGTGGGGAACACCGGATGCAACACTTCAGTATAATCAATAGTGCTGCTCTCATTTGTAATTTTATTTTCTGTAAGCACATATTGTTGCAGGACTTTACTTGCTTGATTGGTGTGTTTAATGACCAGAGGTAGCGTAAAGAGGAGCTTGTCTTTGCAGCCATGTTATAAAACGGTTTAATTGAAAAGGCCTTCCCGAAGTCCTGCTACCAATGACAGCTTAGATGTTTTTACGTCAGATGGTAAAAAGACACAAAATTGCTCAAGTATAAAGTTCTTTAATAGTTAGGACTGTGACTGACCAAAAGGTTATGTCTGAGGCGTAGRGAATGCTCAGGTTTAGGAATGTGTGAAACGTGTCTTTATTGCCACACTCGCATAGTTGAAGGGTCTTAGGTCAGAGGGCGTAAGTAAAGTAGCAGACGTTGTGCAGATTTCTGATAACCTCGGCTCTAGAAGGTGATATGTCTTTTAAAAACTGGGTGTGCAGTGCATGCATGCGTGTCATAATCYTTTCCCAATGCAGCACATAAGATGCTGCGTAGGTGTAATGTGAGTTTATCTGTGCAGAATGAATGTTCTGTTTCATTATGTTGTTGAAGTGACTCTGGAAACTGGAGGACTGCTGCATTGTCTGCTGCAACACCGTGTTTTTTTGTGTTTGAGAGAGGGGGCGAGAGTACGTCCACTTTGATGCACAGCTTCAGCACTTGCTCTCCTAAAGTTGGTGATCTTGAGCTGTATAATTGTCTCATTGAAAATCATTTCAGCTGTACTTATTACTCAGCAATTTCTCATATTTACATCTGTGCCCAGTTAGTTAGCCAAAGTCTCTTTGTTCTTAGTATTTTAACATCAAATAACTGAGCTTTAGCTGCTGTTCCAAGTTCAGGTTTTGATTTAGTTCCCATGTATTCCATTTGTTCATTGCTTGCGATTTAAATGTGTTTCCCTCCAAT